TTAATTGTCAGTGTTCGTTCATTCCCCGATCCCAGCCTGCAAGCTCACCGAACATAAACATTCTGACTTATTTGTCCAAATTGCTAGTGCCTACTGGAGGATTTCTCACATGGTTGTCCTTACAAATGTGCCTTTAGAAGCAAACAAGCCTCAAGAACTTTGGCTCAAAGAGGCAGAAGAGCTTTTCTGACTTCTGACTTTCATGGCGCGAACTTGAACTTCAGCTTATCCCTGACCTTTGAGGAAAATTCTTAGCAGAGAAAAGCAGGAGTGGGAGGAGCAGGGCTGAAGCCTGGTATTTCCCTACATAGTCAGTGGTCATGTCTGCTATTATTTCCTTCCTTGGACTGATTGGGAACCAGTTAAAACTAAGAAGCAAAAGATTATCTAAGTAAATCATAAACCTCCTTCGGCATACCAGCTATTTTTATATTTTTGTCCAGCATATGACTTTAGTTTTACTTAGCTGGATGATGTGCATGTGTTTGTATAACAGGTGTTAAAATTGCTTCAATAATAGACAAGTTAACATATGAACAACTACAAGTAGCTTTCACACTGTAGTACATGATTGGATCTCAGGAGTGGTCCTAAAAATCTAAAAACATAGGAATAAATTTTATTAGCAGTTTAGTAATTCTAATTTCTGAAAATGTTAACTTATATGAATTTGTGAAAGGAAAAATCACCACTTTATCTGCCGCTTTGGAACCTTGTATACCTTTGATCAAAGCCTAACTACTGTTTAAAAATGAAATACTCCTTTTAGACTCTCTGAATGAAATCCTTTTCTGTTGTACAAATGTACTTTAAAAATTTGTGGAAAATGGAATTAAGTATTTATTTTGGTGCAAAAAATTTTTTAAATTCATGCATTTGAGGAGGGTCTCCAAAAAGTTCATGAAAAAACTATGTATGGGTTTCATTTTTTTGCACCAAAATAAATTTAATTTTCTTTTTTTTTTTAAAGATTTATTTCATTTATTTGAAAGACAGTTACAGAAAGAGGTAAAGACAGAGAGATCTTCCATCCACTGGTTCACTCCCCAGATGACCACAAAGGCCGGAGCTGTGACAATCTGAAGCCAGGAGCCGGGAGCTTTTTCTGGGTCTCCTACATGGGTGCAGGGGCCTGCTGCTTTCTCAGGCCAGCAGAGAGCTGGATGGGAAGAGTAGCAGCCAGGACTAGAACTGGCGCCCATATGGGATGCTGGCACTTCAGGCCAGGACTATAACTCCCTGCGCCACAGTGCTGGCCCCTAAATTTAGTTTTCAACTCCATTTTCCACAGACATTTTATAAAGTGCCCACCACCATCGCATATGTGCAGCTATGCATATACATATATAAAAAAACAGTACAAGTACTCCCTTTCTGCTGAATGACCTCAATGGACCCATTTGTATGTTCACCTTGATAAGACTGGCACCACCCAATGGAATATGACCTTTGCTTTCTCAAATATCAATTTACTTATATGTGTTTGTTTACTTAGCTATAAATGTAATACAAACAACACACAGGGAACATCATCTCTAATACCACATGTTAACACAACAGTTATAATTTTCACATATTCCCTTTTTATATTTTATATGCATATTTTATATACTTTTAAGTAAACTTGCAAACTTTTTTAAAAATAGTACTGGTTCTTTTTTTTTTTTTTTAAATATTTACTTATTTATTTGAAAGTCAGAGTTACACAGAGAAGGAGAGACAGAGAGAGAGAGAGAGAGAGAGAGAGACAGAGGTCTTCCATCTGCTGGTTCACTCCCCAGGTGACTGCAACAGTTGGAGCTGTACCGATCTGAAGTCAGGAGCCAAGAGCTTCTTCCAGGTCTCTCACATGGGTGCAGGGCCCCAAGGACTTGGGCCATCTTCTACTGCTTTCTCAGGCCATAGCAGAGAGCTGGATCAGAAGTGGAACAGGTGGACTCAAACCAGTGCCCATACTGGATGCCGGTACTGCAGGCTATGGCTTTACCGGCTATGCCACAGCGTCGGCCCTGTACTGGTTCTTTTAAAGCTATCTTGTTTTTAGAAGAGTATACATATATTTCAATAATTAAAAAGTTTTTTTTAATTGGTGCCAGCAGTGTGACATAGTAGGTTATGCTACTGTCAGCCACGTGGGCATTATATATTAAAGTGCTAGTTTGAGTCCTGGCTACTTTCTTCTGATGCAGCTCCCTGCTCTAATGTGCCTGGGAAGGTGGCAGAGGATGGCCCAAGTGCTTGCAGGCCCAAGTCAAAGATGCAGATGAAGTTTCTGGCTCCTGGCTTTGGCCTGGCCTGACTGGCTGTTGCCGCTACTTGGAGAGTAAACTAGTCAATGGAAGATATCTCTCTTTCTAGCCATCATTCTTTCAAATAATACATGTTAAAAAAAGACAGTAACTGACACACACACACACATCTTCCATCTGGTGTTTTCACTCCCCAAATGCCTGCAACAGCCAGGGCTGGGCCAGGCTGACACTAGGAGGCCCAGGCTCAATCTTTCCACATTGTGTGGCAGGGACCCAACTACTTGAGTCGTTACCTGCTTCCTCCCCAGCAGGAAACTGGAATAAGGACTGGAGTTGGGAACTGAACCCAAGAACTCCAATACAGAATGTGTCTTAAGTTCTATGCCAAACGCCTAGCCCTGGTATAATGTATTTGATGCTGGTATAGGAATGTAACTAAATAACTGATGACATCGTCAATGGCTTTAGACTTGGAGGCTGCACGTGGACATCTGCTATAACTCCTAATTTAAATAATGATGCTTGGGGCCGGTGCTGTGGCGTAGTGGGCTGAGCTCTGCCTGTGGTGCCAGCATCCCATGTGGGTGCTGATTCGTGTCCCAGCTGCTCCTCTTCCCATCCAGCTCTCTGCCTATGGCCTGGGAAAGCAGTGGGAGATGGGCCAGGTGCTCGGGCCCCTGTATCCACATGGGAGACCCGGAGGAAGCTCTTGCCTCCTGGCTTCAGAACAGCCCAGTTGCAGGTACTGTGGCCATCTGGGAAGTGAACCAGCAGGTAGAAGACCTCTCTGTCTCTCTCTCCCTCTATAACTCTGCCTCTTAGTAAATAAAATCTTTAAAAAAAAAAAAAAAGCTTTTACTTTTATGAAGGAAAAGCGAATTTTGCAAAATAGGCAAGGTAGTAAGGGAGGAGCATAAACAAACCTTTTCAGTTAGCTATGAGGTTGAACCTGCTAAGGTCACACCTGTCAACCAGGTTATGGCAAGTTTCACATGATTAGTATCTCAATTTGGCGTTAACCTAGGTAATATTTACTTTTCAAGATTTACGTAACTTATTTTTCCATTTACAGGTCAATATTTATTTCCCCTGAACTTTTCATGGAAAATAGTGACCTTAACAGAAGGAAACCATGGGTTTCTTTTCCTTTGGCTTCAGAGTCTCAGTATTAGAGATGTATTCACAAAATTGGCACATTTTATAAAGACACATTGGGAATGCTGGGGTTTCCTTAAATCTACTCTTCACAAGGGTCCAACACAAATCTCACCCAGCTCGGCTGGGTGAATGCATGAGAGATGACTCTTAACATTTTTATGTCTTGACTTGGGGAAGTAGAGTTAATAACAATGGCTTCTTTTGTCGTGTGGTAGGTAGTAAGATATGCAGAGCTTCTAGAAATAGTGCAGACTAGAATGTAATTATGCATTGTGCCAAGGAACATGAAGCTTTTTTGCTTCATTTTTAATCTAAGGTTGATTTTCCTCCCTTGGCGATTTAAGGGCCTCTTCTCCAATTCCGCATCAGTAAGGACGTGTACTGGGAATGGCAACTTGACAAAAACCATCTCAAAGTAAATGGGATGACACAGTAAATAAGTACTGCAAATAATTATTTTTGGGGAAACACTCTACAACATGATTCTTCTCAGCACTGGCTGTGTTTGAGCCTGAATTTAGACATTGCTGGCTTTTCTAGGCTTGCGGTGTCTCTCTAACAGGAAAGGTGGTGATGAGGAGGGTGGAGAATGTGTTCCAGAACCGGAACCAAGAGGAGCCTTTCCTGACGCCGGAGGTGCCCCTATGCCCCAGCCAGGACCCTCACCAAGGGGCAAGGTGCCATCTTAACCAGAACCTGGTCACTACCAGTCGGGCTTCCGGTGCCTAACAGCGTGCACATGGGCAGCACGGCAGTGGTGAGACCGTGTTGTTGGATCCTAGGGACCCCCGGTCTACCACAGCAGACCGGATCTCCACAGAGCGAGAGCAGACGTTAACCATCAGAACCCGTCAATTCCAGTAACCCCGAATTCCTGCGAAACCTCCGCGACCCGAGCCCCGCTCCCGCTGGGTCCACCCCGCCAACTGGCGGGCGGCAAAGCTCTGGGTGCCGGCGAAGTTCCCAGGGAAGCGCCGTCCGGCGATCCTCCTCCCTGACGCGCCCAGACCCCGGCGGCCGCGCCAGGGGGCTTCCGGGGGGCACGCGGGCGGGCGGGCGGGCGCCTGGACTCCGCCGCGGCGCGAGGCCGGAGCGCGGGGCGGGGGAGGGGCGGCGGCGGCGGGGCCGGGAGCGTGCGCGCGCACCTCACACTCCACCGCCCGGGGACGCCCACTCGTGAGTCGCGGCCGTTAGGCCGGCCCGGGGCCCGTCGACCCCCCACCCCCCACCCCGCTCCGATTCCTTTCAGGCGTGCGCCCAACGGGTTCGGCCCTGCAGCTGTTGTGTGCTGTCTGGGCCCACCAGGCAGGGAACGAAGACTACCCGGCCGCGGCCCCGCGCCGCGGAGGAGCTCTTGTCTCTACCGCGGCGGCTCTGCCCGCCGCCACAGCGAGCAGCCGCGAGACCCGAGGCAGCGCGGAGAAGGCCCCCACGGCCGCCGGCAGGAAGGAGACCGGGCCGACCTCCGCCCGCCGGAGGCGCGGCCGCGCCCGCGCCCGGGGCCGCTCGTCTTCCCGGAGCTGAGCGAGGAATGAACAGGCGCCCGCCCCGGGCTCTCGGACCGCGGCGGGCCGTGGCTCGGCTTCTTCCCACGCCGCGGAGGCGCCGGGGCTCGGCCCCTGCAGCCGGGCGCGGCGGGGTCAGCGGCGGCCTCCGTCCGGCAGCAGACGCCGGGGTTCACTGAACCGGCCGCGGCGAGGAGGAGGAGCCGCGGGGCGGGGGCGGCCGGCGCGCCTCCCCTCCCCCTGCACACGCCGGGGCTTCTCAGTGGCCGCCGGAGGAGGAAGTTCCGCTCCCTGACAGACCCGTGCGGTAGCAACAGCGGCGGCGGCGGCCGTTGGAGCCGAGGGCTCAGGTATTTTGGACGCGATTGCCCTTCGCGCCAGCCGTCGAGGGGACAGCGGCGGAGCCTGCCCGGCGGCGTCGGCCGAGAGCGTCTTCCTGCCACTTCACGCCGCGCGGCTGCTGGCCCTTCCCCGCGAGGTGGGAGAAATTTCCTCCCTCTTCTCAGACTTCCGAGGAGATCGGTGGTTTTTTTTAAAAATTATTCTTTTTACTACCGCGAAGGTTAAGAGATCTGGAAGAGAAGCGTCAGGGGAGAGTAAGTGAATCTTCGACAACTCGTCGGATCTCGCCAGGCTCCCTTTTGGGGCGAGGGACCCCATTCAGGCATCTCAGTGGGGTGCAGGCATGGAGGAACCCACCTTGGAGCTTATCTGCAGTGTGGCTTGCCTGGTCTTCTCTTAGGAATGAAGAGGAGACTTGTGAGAACCCGATGAGGCGCTGACGGCCAAATGGCAAAGAAGCTGCCACAGGACCTTGAAGTAGAGAGCGTTCGGGCGGCCGCGCAGGTTTCTGAATGTAATTGAAGGAGTGTGAAAGAGGTGATCTCTTAAAAAGCACAAGAATCCTTCAAGGGAGGCGAGATCGAGCCCCCTCCCGCCGCCGTCCCCCTCCCCCCTTTTCGGCCAAGATTGTGAAAACCGTTGGATGTGTTGCACACTTGGGCTAAGATGAGAACTTGATGCGGTGTTCTGTCTAGAGCGAAGACGATGACCGCCCCAGCCCTGCTGCCTCTGTCTGGACGTAGGATACCGCCTCTGAACCTGGGGCCGCCCTCCTTCCCGCATCACAGGGCTACCTTGAGACTTTCGGAGAAGTTCATCCTTCTGCTTATTCTTAGTGCCTTCATCACCCTGTGTTTTGGGGCATTCTTCTTCCTTCCAGACTCTTCGAAACACAAACGCTTTGATCTGGGTTTAGAAGACGTGTTAATTCCTCACGTAGATTCCGGTAAAGGGGCTAAAAACTCTGGAGTCTTCCTGATCCATGGACCCGATGAACACAGGCACAGGTTTGTTTATTTCAGAAGTTCTGGTATCAGTATTTTGACGATTTTGCTTGCGATCTGTTGCATTTTATTTTTTGCAGTAAAGGTGTTTTTTTTTTTTTTTTTCTTTTTTCTGGGCGCTGATAGTGGTATTGCTAGTTCAGAACTGTCTGAATAGAGGCAGAGGCTCGACCGAGTCCCACCTAAAGTTTGGCTCCTTTCTTTTGTATAGGAGGAATATTTGTGTTTAGAGTTGTCTAATGTGGACAGTTGAGCATGGAAGTATGAAAACTTAAGCTAGAGAAAGTGTGACCCACGCTGGACTTGTGCCTCCTAAGACCGCATGGCAGTCAGTCATTGTGCTACCATGTGGAATCAATACACTGAACCTTGCCAGCTCCCACGGGCTCGCTCCTCCACGGGCTCTCATTCTTTGGCTTGCTGTTAAAGCTTAATCGCGCCCCTTAGCTCTTTACGGTGACAGGCATGAGAAGACTATACCTGTGGTTTCTTTACACGTCACAATATCCTGATGCATGTTATTTTCAGAGGATGTATTTTGATTTCCTGTATGTTATCAGTTAAAGGTGTCATGGAATCCTAAGTCATTTCAGTTTGAGTCTTGTAGACAAGAATTAAATTTTTTAAAATTTAATCATGCTACAGTGATTTTTTTTTTAATGTGAAATATGGATCACATCTAGTCAGTGTTAGAATTTGGTCAGTTAAAGTGAGCTCTTGGGAAAGTATAGCCAAATGAGAAGAAAATAGAGCTTTAGTTACCAACTGTACATCACAAATGTATTTTTGCTCAAAACGGTTTGGGAAAGTAGTCTACTTTTCTCAGATGTACCTTCTTTTCCTTGTTTCTTAAAACAGTTCTGGAGTCTGGAGTATGTGAGGAATTATGTGCTTCAATTCAGTTTTCAACTGATGTTAGTTTTAACTTTTTATCAAGCATGAGGGTTTTGAAAAAGCTTAGGTTCAAATGTGAGCTTAAATGCTTGGAAAATGCATTGTAATGAGAACTGGTGTTTCCTTTTTCTCAACCTAGTTCATTACTTGATGGTTCTTTGACTTTTGGCTGAACCTTATGGATTAGTTACTTATAATATTGTTGGACACTGTTCTTCTGTAACTGAGTTAATTTGGACTTTTTGCCATTTTCAACATCTGTACCCTTTTAGATGTTTCTTTAATTGTTCCAGTTGCCTTTTGTGACTTGCAGAAAAATCTGATATCTCTGAAATGTTACTAAAACTTTGACAGTGAAAGTGCTGTGAAACCCTTACTTCTCATTTGTATAAACCATGATGCATATTTGAAAAGAAATGTGTTAAGATTGACTTCAGAGCTCTTGGACAACAGCTGCATAAACATTAGTAGAGTGAGTAGTCATAAGTAAACAGTTTCCTTTAAATTTTGTGTGGCCTAAAAGTTTTAAAAATATGGCCACATTCTAGCTTAAAAACATTTTACACATAGAAAAATTCTCAGGAGTGAAAATGTGAAATTTGGAGGGCAACAGCTATATGCATTTTATTCATGTTTTTAAAAATCTACTTAAGTCACTTAAACAAGAATTGTTAAAATTTATATAGCCTGTGAATGTATAGGAACATGTGTTCTTGCCATCCAAAACCACTGGGTTCCTGAGTTTGGAGTGAGAGATTGGTTATTGAGTTCTGAGAGCAAGGGGTTGTGAATGTGAATGTGATTGTCACATCCTGAGTTTTGGCTGTTGAAAGTCTGAATAATAAGTGATAACAAGTGCATGTTTATTGGCATCTTTTTGGTTCTTGAATTTTGTAAAGTGAGAATTCAAATAGTGGGAGTTCAGATAGTGAGGGATCTGTTTATTCTCTATATTTCTGTGGTCCTAGCAATTATATTTGTTATTTGTGGTGCTTGTTGTATGAGTATCTGAATACATAGTCTGTAATGATAAGAAATCTTTGACTTTGAGCAAGGAAATACATTTTAAGTTAAGCTTAATATGTGGAAGCAAAAATACCAAATTAATTGATCAACTAACATTTAAAAATGATTTGGAGAGATAGCATTTTAACAGAATTAGTATTAAGATCATACCTGTTTGGGGTATGAGTCAAAAAAACATTTTTTATCTTAAAAATACAAGTTGACAACTTTATCTTAATTTTCCATGTGTGTGGAAGGGTGCGGAATAAGAGAGTTGAAGAACTGGAACTGATAAATAATGAAAAAACAGATCATGGCCATTGTTTCTTATTCAGAGTACTTAAGAGATCCTTATTGAATTTGGTGTTTATTTTTTAATGGGTTAGTATAGTAGTTTGGTGTTAAAAAGCTATCTGCTGCATGGATTCATACGTTAGTGTACCATTGATTACATATGTGATCCTGAGCAAATTTTTAAACTCTGTGCCTGAGTTGCTTCCTCTGTATGACAGTGGCATCAACTTTACAGGTTGTTGTATTGAATGGGGCAATAATATGCAAAACACTCAACATAGTTACTGGCATTTAGTAAATTATCAATAGATGTTATGTTACTATCAGTAATTATAATTGAATATTTTAATTTTGAGTTTATTTTCAATATTTTATGTGTTTTTGAAAAGTTGCATATCCCAGAATCTTCTTATTTAAAAGAAGCATTTCATAATTTTGTAACCAAACTGGTTAACAACAGATGTGTATTTCATGCCAACTGGTTTAGGTCCTGCTTTTTGGAGATCTCCAACTGGGGAGGATAATGGGTGTTTAATAAATAATTCTGCCTTTGAGGTATGATGAGTGTTATGAAGCATTCACTGCTTATCATAGCACATAATGGGGTGAGCTAACCTTTGGACTGGGGGTAGGGAGGGACAATGGAAATAGGGAAGGTTGGCCGGCGCCACGGCTCACTAGGCTAATCCTCCGCCTTGTGGCGCTGGCACACTGGGTTCTAGTCCCGGTCGGGGCGCTGGATTCTGTCCTGGTTGCCCCTCTTCCAGGCCAGCTCTCTGCTGTGGCCAGGGAGTGCAGTGGAGGATGGCCCAAGTGCTTGGGCCCTGCACCCCATGGGAGACCAGGATAAGCACCTGGCTCCTGGCTTCGGATCAGTGGGTACGCTGGCCGCGGTGGCCATTGGAGGGTGAACCAACAGCAAAAGGAAGACCTTTCTCTCTGTCTCTCTCTCTCTCTGTCCACTCTGCCTGTCAAAAAAAAAAAAAAAAAATTTAAAAGGAATATTCGGGAAGGCTTTTTCGGGAAGGCTTTCTTAAGAAAGTGATGACTCAAAAACTTGGCATGAGTAGGAGATGGGCAGTGGAAGGAGAGATGAGAAAATGTGGTCAAAGCAGAGGACCCAACATGTGTTAGAGTTCTGAGTTCAAAAAGCTTGGTATCATTGAGCAACTGAGAAACGATCGTTATGGCTTATGTAGAGGATAGCTGTGTAGAGCTAGGGAGTAGACTACATGAGAGGCCAGATTTGGCCCCCACACAAGTTTAACAAGTTTGAATTAGCTGCCAATGTTCACACATCAGTAGATTTCACATAAAAATCTGGATTTCTGATTTCTCTTGAGCAATTAGAGGATATAGCAATACCTACATCTCTATTTTCAGATGTTGACCCACAGGTGGAACCTGGTAGCAGCTGTTCCCTCTAGAGGGGCATGTACTTTCCATTTTATGACAGCCAAATTAAGGTGCCAAATAAGTGAATACAATCCATTAATATTTAACTTGGTTGTTTATTAAGTTCTCAGTCCCTACACAGGGTGCTGGGAGTTTGAAGTTTAGTGTGTTGGTTTTCACCTTAGTTTTATGGGAAGTCATTGAAGGAGTTTAATAAAAGCAAGTGAATAATGTGATCATTTTCCATTTTTAAAAAATTTAATCATTTTGGTTGCAGTGTTTATTTACTGGGTGCAGAGGAGTGGGAAGATAACCAGTTAGGGAAGTCCAGGTCACAGAGGATATTAATTTATTCCTTCCTATTAAGTAATTTATGAATAATCTACAGTTTTTCAAATAATATATATATATTACACAGACATATAGATTTAGATGATAATAACATAAAAAGTGTAGCTTGGTGTTGATTATGGTCATTTTTAGCATCTTTAAAGTATCCAAAACAGGCATTTGTTACAATATACATGAATGTTGTTGTACTACAGTCTGATATAGAGAATGTATGTTCGTAATTTGTATGTATAATAGACTTACATAATTTAAATTTACATACCACTTTCTTTCATTTTGGAAACTGACTTTCATTTTATATAAAGAGTTTTGTGTTTTATCTTAGATGTTTATTTATTTGAGTGGGCCATAAGTTACATATCCCAGTCGGAATTTTGTTAGTTTCAACTGAATACTTGAGTTTCCTCAAGGGAAACCATGTAGGCTTTAGAGTCAGAAGGACCTAAAGTTGCTTTTTGGTTCTGTTAAGTAGACATAATCACTTTGAACCTATGCTGGCCAGACACGTGACTAGTGCACTTGAAATGTGGCTAGTACCGATTGCCCAGTGCTTCAGTGAGATTTTCTCAAGTTCTTCATGTCATGATTGACATTTTTGGCCTGATTTGGTACAGCCTTTGATTAAAAGAGTAGTATTAAAAAAGTAAATAAATCTTATTATCATGATTTTTATTTTATTACCATCTTTCCTCATTTCATCCTTTTTCCATTCCATACTTTTCCCCAGATCTTGTTCCTTACTTAAGGTTTTTTGCTTATGTTTGGGGAAGGTCACATGGTTTATCATCTAATAAGTCTGTGGGATGATCCATTTCTTTTGTACCCTATTTCCCTCAGTGGCTCTTCCTTTTATTCAGATGTGAATTATGTAAGATCTGTTTATGTAAGATCTGTTTATATTTGACATTTTTCAACAACAGACTAGTATAGATGCCTTTGCTTTTTTTTTTTTTTGTCTGTGTATATATTGAGGGATACTTTTTTCAGCTCCAAAGTTGAAAAAGTTTATTTATTTATTTATTCGACAGGTAGAGTTACAGACAGTGAGAGACAGAGAGAAAGGT